CAGCATCACCTTGAGTGATATGGTAGGACCTGATGCCTGTACTATTTAAGTGTTCTGCTAGTGTGGTATCAGCCCATATGCCAGGTGATCTGCACTGGCACCTTTTTCTTAGACTTTTTTCTATAAAAAACACCAAAATATACTGTATGCCCCAGCACAACGGGTATATAGATTGCCCTTTTACGTGGTTCCTTAAAAAGGGGTTCAAAAACAAAAAGATACAACTTGCTTACCAAAAACACCAACCCAGTCCTAATGGACATTGCGTTCTACCTCCTTAGTGAATGTAGGCAACTGTGTATCCTATATTTGGTGAACTGATAGAGCAGTGTTTGAAACTTTACCCATTTATAAGACACAAATGCTAGTACTTACCCTCATTATTCAGTTTAGGAAAGTAAGAGCTGTATAATGCTAAAGATAATTTTATTGTCTTCTGTCCCATGGCTTTCCCTAAGCTGAAACAGCATTAAAGGCCAAAGTTTAACCTTTAGCCCTCATTCACACTAGAAACGGCTGGCACGTACAGCTCTGTGCTGCGTGCACAGCCGTATAGGGCAGCTCCATCCTGTCAGTGTACGAGTACGCTCACCCGCACGGACGTGCAGAGCGGGTGAGCATAGGGCGGCGTACGGCGCGTAGTTCCATAGAGAAGGATGCGGGCTGCGTACTAATCACACCTGTCCTTCCCGCGAGCTGCCCAATACAGCCGTGCACGCAGCACGGAGCTGTATGTGCCGGCTGTTTCTAGTGTGAATGAGGGCTTAAGGATAAAATTTGGAGAGCAGAAGCTACAGCTTCCAGCCACAGTCAGATTCAATGTCATAGAAATTAATTATAGTAACTGGAGCAAAGGCTTCTGGGAGATTCCAGCTGTCTGGCTTCCACAGTGCCATTCATGACTTTGTAAACTACTTTACTGTTTAGCAGTTTAATGGAAACGATTGTAACAGCAATGCTTTTTATTAAATCAGTGAAGAAACTTAGAATGAAGTCTCGATTATTGGAGTATGGGCATCTTCCAGAATCCGGTGCTTCAATTACTATGATGAACCTCTATGCAAATTCAGGACATGCAGCAAACATTGGTGGCCTCAATGCAGTCATGTGAAACATTAAGTAAACCCATGGAAATTCTGAGCTTTTTCATCATATTTAAACAAGCAAAGACTAGATCTCCATTTAAACAATGCTTATATATAAAGGTGATATACTTGAATAGGAACAAAAGGAAATGTTGCCTTTTAAATTATTTATTCAACAAAAAATATCAATTGATGTAATAGCGTACTGTGGAAAAAGTAAGTATACCCTTGGCATCAAAAGTTCTTATTGCCCCTTTAACAGAATTACTTATTGTAGGCATTTGTATAACTGCCCGCTAGTCTCTGATATCAACGTTTTGACCACTTCTCCATGCAAAATTCCTTCAGTTGCAAGATGTTTGTGGGTTTACTTGCATTTACTTCCAGTTCCCTCCTACAAAATTTCAATGGAAATCAAATAAGGGCTTTGGCTGTGCAGTCCATTGTCATTTTGAGCCATTCCTTGGTGGGTTTGCTAGTGTGCTTCAGATCTTTATCCTGTTGAAAGACTCAACTTTTGGACAGGTGGCCTCACATTCTCATCAAGCACATTTTGATATGTTGCAACAGAATGTATAGTTGACTCGATGACTGTGAGCTGCCCAGGCCCTGAAGCAGCAAAACAACCCACAAACTATAACATTTCCATCACCATGCTTCACAGTTGTTATGAGGTTCTTTTCCAGAAATTCTGTCTTTGGTATGTGGCAAACATGTCTACGGTTACTGTGAACAAACAACCATAACTTTGATGGATCAGTCTTCTTCAGCACATAGTTCAAGAAGGCCTGGTCATGCCTATCTATATGTTACATGGCAATATTGCTCTGTAATCTTGCCCTGTTTTTTAACATCTATCATGCATGTTGAATTGTTGATCTCTTTCTGATTGTAGATTCACACAGTGTTGCAAGAGTTACCCAAATACCATGTAATTAAATTTTTAGGTTCTTGGAGACTTTGATGGGCCAGTCCTGGACAAATTAGCAGTTGTTTGAAATCTATGCCACTAGTGGATAATTTTCCTTAAAGCAGAATTATTGATTTCAAACCATTTAGCATTTTTTACAAATCCTCTACTAGACTCATAGACATCCACAACTTTCTTTATAATGGCCTTAGAGAGCTCTATAGATTTTGGCATGATGACATCACACACTTCAATAGCAAAAAGAACACCAGACCCTAGAAATCTGAGGTTATACCTGCATATTTCATAAGAAGGTTCTAATCTTTGACATCTAATCTGGAACACTGAGTTTTAATTTTCTGGATTTTAAGTGATGGCAAATGTAAGGTTTTACTTAAGTATATTATCTTTATCTGTAGACACTATTTGAATCAAGATCTAATGTTTGCCTGTTCAAATATATTGAAAAAGTCAACAATCTTTATTGGACAGTTTGGAGGGTTATTCTTAGATTGCATTACAGTTCTATGTCTGAGAGCACTTCTTGATATTGCTAGGGATCTCCTGACTCCAAAATCTCATGGAAATGTATTGCTTTCCTCTGAGGAGCTGGTAACGTATTGTAACTGTATTCCTTCATCGCCCTGCATGGGCCCATCCAGACAAGCATGTCTGGCTAATCTGAATGTGCATGTTTGTGAAAGGATGTTTTAGGCAAAAGATATATTGGTGGTATGTAGATTAACTTTAGATACATTTGAATGGTTGTGCCAAAATGATTTTTTAATTTCACTAATGTATATCACTTATGTACTGTTAATACTTTTTAACATACTATTCCCCTGTAAATTAACTATCAATATGTTTTTATATATTATTATATAGGGGGTTATTCACAAAGCTAACCGAAGGATCAGCCATAGCTACAGCTGATCCTTCTGCCAGCTTCGGCTGCCTGAGCCCTTCGGTTCAGTAGAACCGAAGGGCTGCTGTACGGTCTATTCATTATAGCCAGTGCAGCTCCCGAAGTTGGTCGAGTTGAAGGCATATGCTTCGGCTCGACTGAGCCGAGGTGAAAGCTGAAGCGGGCCGAATGGCCGGCCATTGCCTGGCCGAAAGCCTGCTACTGACAGCTGGGCGGAGCCAGACGTCATCTCATGGCTGTCTCTGGCCACTTGCAATGACAGATCAGCGCCCCCTGGTTACCACGTAACCAGGGGACGCTGAACTGTCATTACAATGAGAGCTCATCCGAGCCAGCCGTGATATCAAAGCTGGCTCTGCTGAGCTCTCATTCTAATGACAGTTCAGCGTCCCCTGGTTACTTGGTAGCAAAATATGCTTGTTTAACTAATGAATGTAATATCAGCATGACTGCTGATGTGATTTTTAGCGAAAATATTTATACTGTAATGGTAATCGAAAAATACAGTATTAAACAAATGCACACTGCCACCTTCAGGCTGCCTTTGGCACCTGCAGTGGCATGTAAAGGCTAAATGCTTTGTCAGTGAAACCTCCAGCCTGCAGATCAACACCATGTCATAGCTGACATAGTGATCACATGATCAGGAACCACTCTAATTGGTTCCCAATTATTAATGGGGATCTGAGCATGTACAAAGTGTTGGTTGATAGCTCTAAAATGGGGGGCATTTATTAATGCATTCTCAGCATGGAGCATTATGCTCAGCAATGGTAATGTAGGGATTGAGGATGGGAAGGCGTTAATATAAAAAAGGGACACAACCTATTTTTTTTAAAGTTTTGGATAGTGTTAAAAGGGACTTTTGCCAATTTTTTATTGCGTCTGTGTCCCCGCTGGGAAGATTCACTCTTTCTATTTGTCCTGGTGACTACTGTCACTGTAACAGAGAGTAAGAGGAAATCCTAAATTTTAAAGTTGTCTTGAGATTAAGCAGGGAGGAAAAAATCTTCCATTTGGAACAAATGGTCTAGTGACAATTGTCTAAGATGTGAATTCCCCCCACATTGAGGGGATTTCCTCTTGCATCACCAAGAAAGGAAGTGAAGGCAAATCTGCCCAGAAGGATACAAAAGAATAACCCTTCCCTGCTCTATCCAAAAACAAAAAAAAGTTTTGGCCATATATACACATTAAATAGGGTCACCTAAAATTCTTCCAAAATGTAAAGGCTGTTAAGATCCAAGCTTCATAGCAGTTAATACAGAGGCACCTACATTGAATTGTGCGATAAAGACATACCAGGAATCCAGAGGGGAGCTTTGCATACTGTGTATGTATGGATTTGAGTACTCTAAAAAAAAGAGTAGGCACCTTGTAATATATTCACATTTTTTAAAGAATAAAATATCAAGGATGTTTTTATTTGTCTTTTCTTTTTTAGTTTTCAGTTTTTTAACCTTATTTGTTGTCCAATGCTGTCTTGCTCAAACTTTCATGGTACCATGTTATGTACAATATTGCTTTTTAATATAACACTGACCTTTCTAATTGATTTCGATAGGTTTCAGCTTTCAAAATAAACAAACTGCATTTGTCTTTAATCATTTTCAGTTATGTTTTATTCCTTTAAAATCTTCCAGTGTTTTAAAACAACAAGAAAACATTTAGAATTTCCTTTGGTGAAACATTATTACACATTTTGTATATGTAAACTTGTGGCTTTCCGTAACACCAGCACACGCTCCCTATGGAAGATTTTCTGAGTAATTCACCCGTTTACGGCTTAAGGGGACCTAGGGAACGTTAAGCCCCTCCAGCCATGAAAAGGTTAAAATAATGAAAACAATAAAATTTAAATTATATATAATATATAAGGAAAAAAAAATAAAAAAAAATATTTCTGATATTTTGAAGAACTTCACTTAATAGATTGTCTGTTAAACACGGATCTGCAATAATACAAAAAATCTACATTTTACATTATTTCAAGAAAAATAACTTCATTTGAATATAAAAGGATAAATACATTTTATTTTTGCTTAATCTCTAGCTTTTTCTCATATTTTTATATCGTACGCTTTTTTTCTTTTTCTTTTTTATAATCTTGGCGTACCTTTGATATACAAGCTTTGAAGTATTCTCCTAAAAGAGATGGGGCCAAGGAAGGGAGTTATGTGCACCACTAACATTGGACAAATAAAATCTTTCGACCAACGAGGGTATACGGAGCGACGTTCACAAAAGCACAGGTGTAAGGGCATCGGGGGACCAATATGGTCGCTTTCCTTTGCCCACAATGCACTGGCAGCAAAGAATGACGCTATTTGGTTGGTCCACACACTGGGCAGAGAGGTACAATAACCGTGTGGAAGTGGCAAACAAGCACTTGTTGTCCTCTTCGTTTGGAACATGTCAAGGGCAATTCAAAAATGCAGCTTATCCTGCCATGGTATCAGTCCTCCTTAGGCAGCTGTCTTGCTAGGGCATTCCACGTAGGTCATAGCTACATACACCTGGAATTACCATGGAAGCAGTTCTGTTTCTGATGATCATGTTGTGAGGGCCTTTTCTTCTATGTTAGGCCTTTACAGCTGGATCTGTTACCATGGCAGCAGTCTTCTGCTAGGCAGCCATTTTGTGAGCCAGAATCATAACAGTCATGGATCTCTCATTCACAGATTGGTACATATGGCTTAGTACAGTGAGGCCCTCTCTATTGTTATATAGTTTATTTATTCCTTTACATTTTCCCACGTCATCCAGACTCAGATCACCCGCCATTACAACCTATAGTACATAGATCACATTCTTTAGAAAGTGCACAGCTGAGTTACAATTATCATGGTGATTAGATAAAGGTTATGGGAGATAGATTCTTGTCCAGATTGTCCAGATTTGGGAAAGCAGAGGTCTTTATCCTCACAATGCTCACACAGTATGCCCGTATAGCCAGGAGGACATAGGCACCTCATATTGTTGTGGCATATCCCACCATTTTGACAACGAAGCAACTCATTGTCGCAGATGTTTGCTGTTGAGACAAAACAAAGAATAATTAACATAACTACTCAGGTACAACCACATCATCAGACTTAGAACTGAACTCCAGGCAAATAGCTAAATACACTGGGGGGAATTTATTAAACATGGAGCAGACAGAATCTGGAGCAGTTGCTCATGGCAACCAATCAGCATCTCTGTTCAGTTTGCTCAGATAAGACTTGAAAATGAGACAGAGAGGCTGATTGAGGTTAAAAGCAGAGGTTTGGATACACGTTTTCTGCAGAAAATGTGAAAGCCGCACAGCCACGCCAAGCACCTCCATATAGTGCAGTCCTTACTCTAAACTATGAGAGTCTCCATCTTGGAGCACATGGGGCAGAAGATTAAATTGGGTGCAGGTTTATCAGGAGGAAGCCCAACCTCCTTTAAAGGCACAGGTACGCACAAGGGACCCCGCACATTACAACGGCAGCTGAGACCCCCCATGACCCCAACTATGAGAGAATACAATATGGAGACTCTCATAGTTTAGAGTTAGGACCGCACTATATTGAGGTGCCTTGGCGTGGCTGTGCGGCTTTCACATTTTCTGCAGAAGGCGTGTATCCAAACCTCTGCTTTTAACCTTAGTGGTTAGACAGGCTTTTTTGCATGCTGGCTGGTGAGTGTGCTTGGAAACTTTTTTCTGTTTGAAGCCCTTCTGTGTGCACCTTGCTGTAAAGCTGGTAACGAATTGATGCGTGCGTTTGTCATTTGTTTTGCTTGAGAGAAGCTGATTGGTTGCAGTGCAAATAAGTACCTGAACTTATACTAGTTGCATTTTATTACTACAAATCTCCTTTAGTTGCCTGGAGTTCAGCTTCAAATAACTAATTTTATTCCAGCCCAGTGAACTGTAGTTTGCCTCAACGTTTTGTACTTATATTAAGAAAAATTGTGACTTAAATGGTAAGCTCCTGATAAAACCTTAAAGTTGGTCATATACACCCCTAAAGCAGATGCTTAGGCTACCCATTCACCAAGGGATTTTCCATCAGGTTACAAAGCAAATGAAAACCGTTATCTGTAAAAAAAATGCATGCATTAAAATGTCAGTCCACCCAAAACTGATATTTATCTGGCTGGGCTAGCCAGAGGGCTAACCCAGTGGTCAATTTGTATTATCTGTTAGGAGTTGTAGGTGGGATTCTTGTACCTGAGTGCCTGGGTCTGCACACTTCATGTGGCCATTTTGGGGAGATTATAATCTCACTGTTGAATTTTTAAAGACTCACTTTTGAGTGGTCTGTGTTTTTTTTTGGCAAACAATAGTTCCTGGATGTCAACAATAAAGGAAACCATTCCTAAGAGAAACATGGAAGCTGCCATTATGCCAACCATCACATTGTAAGGAAACTTTGCTTTGCTTAGTGAATGTAGTCAAAATTCAGAAGAATGCCCAATCTACAATAAAAAAAGGTATTTTTTATGGATATGAATAGATAATAGAAGTCAGCAGAGCTTCACCTCAATCCCCAAGTTAAAAGAGAACTATGTGGTGACCTTTTTTCCCATAGTTCTCTTTAGGAACATGGGAGGACATATACGAATGTCCTCCCATGACCCAAAACTCAGTATATAGCGGGCTATTGCCTGCTATATGCTGAGAGGGCTGCAGCCAGGATGGATCCCGACAATACTGTCAAGATCCACCCCATTGGCTGATTGACAGCTGGTTCTGCCTATCTAGAGGCAGAGCCAGCTGTGCCCTCCTCCTCTCCCAACGACCCCTCCAGTAAGCACTGGAGGATCGGAAAGGGGAGGGGGAATCCCTGTGGGGAGCGGTGACTGATTGTCACTGCTCTCTGCAGGGAGATGATCGGGAAGTGAGTGGATAGGCAGTATGTTTTTGCTTACTTCAAAATCAATAGAGCCGACCTGTGACAGGTTCAATGTCACACGTCGGCTCTAACTATGGGGGTAAGTGTAATTCACTCACCTGATAGTTCTCCTTTGCAAACAGAAAATCTATTTGCAGAGTGAACAGTCTATTTACCTCCAGTAAAGCAACAAGTCAACAAGGCAGGATACATATCCAGATAAGGATTTCTGATGTCTGTCTTTCCTGATATAAATGTTTGTTCTGGGTGAGTGTCTCAAAAAGAACTAAAGTCAGAAGGTCAGCATAACAGACAGGATAGTTACATTTTTAGAAGGGGGTCAGCAGTGGCAGCCCTCATATTTGTCTCAAGAAAGGTTTTTTTTTAATTGTCACAAGAGTTAGATAACCATATGATACTCATTTATTGTTATTGACGTTATTTAAAAAAAATTATAAAAATAATGATCAACTTAAACTGTCCTAGAAAAAAGGATGCGTAAATAATTTATCATGTTACAATTTTGCATTACATTCTTTACACATAGCTGAAGGAATTTGGTTCTCTTTGATAGAAACATGTATAATCAAAATTACATGAATACAAATTCAATGTACAAAGGACGTACAAGTATTTTTTGTTAACTTAGGCATATTCTATACTCAATATCATCAATATTTATAAAAACTCAATCACCATCAATAGCAAGCAATCAGAATCCATCTTTCACTGACCTGATTTCAATGAACTATAATCAGTTTGAATGTTGCAAGTATTGTTACTTGCTCTTTACTCATTGTTCTTTACTCATTTACTAATTTCTGTGACTTTTTCACTGTAAATCCTGGAGTACCATTATTTATGTTTCAAATAGTTCAAACAGAACACATTTATGGGGTCTATTCACAAAGCTGCCGAGGGCAGCCGAGTGAATGACCGATCAGAAGTGAAGAGAGCCGAACACCGTTCGGCTATTCACTTCAGGCTGGTACGGCTGATTTCAGCCGTATATCGGCTGAAATCAGCCGTACATCGGATATGTTTCAAACAGAACAAATGTAATAGCAAATAATCTGAAGACATCAACATTTGTTTTGCTTACACCTATATATGTATTGGTTATATGTTTTAGGTAAATCATATAACCAGTACAGTCTACATGTATACGCTTGATATGGAACTTATTTAATACAGAGTAAATACTGTAACTGCTGCTTAGGTCTGCACGCATGTTCAATCGTTTTTCCTCCTGCAGTGATTCTGAGATGTGTTTTTCAGCAATTTATAATGCAGCATTAAATATTTTTGTAACAATATTTTCTCCATACAGAGCCTGCATGTATGAGTTTTTTTGGTTACAATTACACTAAACTGAGGAGTTAAATCTTAAAAATGCATTCAAGTACCATAACTATTAACAAAAATGTATTTTAATTGTGTATCACTCAGCTGTAGATCATCAAATCATCTCTGAATTCATGCTGACACTGTCCTTCCATCTGGAGGGTGGCTACTCTTGTTCCCCATGGTTCCTGTGTATGTTGTAAAGGAGCCACCTCTCCAAGCTGGCTCCTGTGATGGACTACGAACTCAATACAAATTAGTAAACTAAACGTGAGATAGTGGTCCATCACAAGAGGGAGCTTGGAGAGGTGTCTACTTTACAACACACACAGGGACCAAGGGAAACAAAAGTAGCCACCCTCCAGAAGGAAGGACAGTTTCATCATGAATGTAGAGATGATTTGAGGATCTCCAGCCGAGTGATATACAAATAAGATACATTTCTGTTAAAGTTAGGGTACTTGAATGCTTTTTTAATATGTGATTCATGAGTTTAGTGTCACTTTAAATAGTGGCTGGTGGTGAAGGGATTTACAATGTGAGATGACAGAGGATGGTTGCCAGGAAAGTTGGAGTTCCATCTAACGTTCTCCTTTAGTAAATTAACCAAAAAAATGCTGACCTTCTTCTTTAAATATCTGTTTCTTGGCTGTCATGCTGATCCAATGCCTTTAACACATGATAAGTCACTGACCTGGAACAAGTATGCAGATCAGTCAGTGGTCCTAATTTGCATACTTGTTCTTGATCAGTGACTCTGAAAGTACGGACATTATTAGATCAGCGTGGCAGCCTGGCAACTAGCTTTTTTCCTTTAAGAATAGCAGTACGATAACTGAATTGTGGGAACTGCCATGGTCCAGGTAGGTGGTGTTTTACTGAGGAGGAAAGAGTCCGATTCTATTTTGTTTACTTTAACATCTTCTAAAGCAGTAGGGGACATGGTAAGAGGCTCTTGAGGTGACCTAAACATAGAGGCTTCTGCATGTAGTGTTAAATAACTGGCAGAGCTTCCCAAGATCCCTGAAACCTGTGGTGTTCCATTAAATTAGCCCTATGCTGAAGCTCAGGCCTACCACCTCCTCTTAAATACTGGTCATTGAGAAAACCTATCATGCATATGGAATAATAATGGCCTGAGCAAAGTTGCTACCTTGTAACAGAGAGCAGTGGGGTTCATAGGTTCGCTCAATTTTAGATAAGAAAACATGAAAAAATAATGAAATCAAGTGCTGCTGAAATCTTACTGTCCTAAGTTCGAGTCCAGGTTGCCTTTACAGAAATATAGACCTGTCTAGGACTACAAGTTCTCTTAATGTACTATCATTAATCAAATAATGTACCATAAATGGTTCAAGTTGTAAGCAGTTTTGTTGTAAAAGAAATCATTAATATCTGATAGGCTTCCTCATTCCAGTCTCTTTTACTGAATAATTATTTGTGCTGCAATATGTTTACCAAGTTGCATTTCAGCAATGAACTTGTGGAATATAACTTTACAGGCCTACAGATATTGGGGGCAACTACGTATTGCGAATAGGGAGCTTACAAAATAGTTAACTATGTGGCGGAAAGCCATATGATGAATGGTTCCTAATGTGCTGCTTTCCCAGAGGTTCAGACCTTTCCCTGACAATCGATTTGTCAAGTCCATGCCACTGGGAAAAATAACAGTGACAGCAAGTGACAGATCTGCACAACCCCCATGCAGCACACAGTGTATGAGTGTTTAAAGCCATGTATTAGAAATCCATTTGACCTTTACTTGTATCTGATTTCTAGCATAGAGAAAAACATTTCCTTGACATTTTTATTAAAACAAGAA